TCTAAGAACTTGGAGCCTGGTGCATGGAAATACACCAGTAATCATGGCCCTTAGGAGCCCAAGGCAGGAGAATTAAGAGTCTGCAGCCAGCCTGGGTTACACAGCAAGATGCACTCTCAAAAGAAAAACACGATGCTTGGTCCGTTTTCAGCTTAGAGCTCTTGATAAGCTCAAACTATTTCCTAATCAAGTTAACTGGTCTCAGGATAGTTGTCTAAAACATGGACAACTGGTGTAGTATTTGTCCCTCCTTCAGGACAATAAAACTTACACACCATGTTAATATTTGCCACTGTTTATTCACCAGTGCTAAGCACTTACCAGACAGAACTTCAGGTCATGATAAATTACACCCGCAATTTTAATGGAGCACTGCAGAGTCTGCCTATCATCAGCCTTCCAGCAAAATGCTGGCAGTACAAGCCAATCTGTAAACATCGCATATACAGGGTAGAAATCTGACTCAGAATGCCAACCCGTCGGTCACTGCTACCGTAGTGCCATCTCCTGTCTTGTGACTCTAGAAGCCTGAATCAGAAACAACAGTCGATAAAGGAAACAGAGCTAAGAATAGCACAGCTAAACCATCTTTCCGCCTCTCCTTCCTCCCAGACCAAACCAACTGTCAGAGTTACTGAACAGATAATTCATACCTTTCAAAAATTAGTTACTGCCAGCGAAACTGCTGCCTGGATGCTGCTGAGGACAACTGCAAGAGAGTTCCTCACAAAAATGGAGGTGTTTCAGCAGCCTCACTGTAGTTCGAGATCCCAGTCCTCTGACAGCACAAGCGCAGCAGCGGCAGAGCTCACAAAGGGCTGCGAAGCACGCAAAGATAATTTTCCACTCACTGCCTGCCTGGAAGTGGCACACAGGAAAGAGGCGGGGAAGCCACTCGGCTACGTTACTACAGAAGATTTCAAGGCAAGAGCCAAAGAGGGAAAACATCACATCTCTGTAATTCCAAGAGATATTTTTAAATTTCAACCCGATCTGAGAACCCATTTGCTTCCAGGAAAGCGGCCAAACCTCCGAACAAATTATGCCCCTTGGAGTTTGTCATAAAAGGCATCTGGCCTGACAGAGTCTCAGCAGCCACACAGGTCAAAGCATAAGCCAGGTTCCCTATTCTCATTGGCTCCGGACACATGTCAGGTTTCAGAAACATCTTCCTCAGGGTTGCTGCGAACAAACATGGTAGAAGCTGCTTAGCAACATCCATTTGGTTTATAAAAGCCCCATTAAGGCCAAAATATGAAATCTCGCAAATTCTATTTAACTATATTGAGCAAAATAGGAAATTAAAAAAAAAAAATTCAAAAATCCCTCCAGCCACAACCACTTAAACAGACACACACTGCTGATCTTAAGTTATGCACTCAAAAGATAACTTTGCTTGCAATTCTTTCCCAGACAAGTTCCCTAACATTAAACCTTAAGTATGTGCATGTGTGAAAAATTCCACACTTGAAAAGTGAGACTCATCCATCCCACATGGCTAAGGAATACCTGTGTTGTGTTTAAATGGTCAACACTGAAAACATCGCTTGTTATCCTAAGACTTTGAAGCCGGCCCCACAGTCAGCAGTTACAATGCCCAGGGCTAATGGGCACACCCTCCTGCTCTATACTAAACAGCCACTGAAGAAGCAACACACTAGTTTTTAAGTAGCCACTTACAGGGAGATGAATTTAAAGTTCCGGTAATTTCTGTAATGCTCTACTCAACTGACGCCATAAGCACAGATTCCAGTATCAAAAGTAAGCTGTTCCCTTTATCTTCTCATTGAGAATATGAAGTACGTGAGCCTTAGTGCCACCAACTATTCTCAAGGATCCTTTATACACATTAACTATAACATATGTCTCCTTGACTCATATATTTATAACCAAGATTAAGAGTTAAATCACAAGTCTGATCAAATATGAAGAGGCTGCGAAAAACTGAATATGAAAAATCGGGAAGTTGAAAGTCATGGAAATTTAACTAAAACCACCGAGTCTCAGTTCTGCTGGGTCAGCAACTTTGCCACTCCCTCCCCCGTGCCCAACAGCCCGCAACATAGTGGACACAGTGTGGCGGTACAGTGTCCATGAGCACGCAGCGGCATCCAGAAGCCCTAGACACACTGGCTCTTCCAACCACACTCCACCACAAGCCTTCCTAGCAAAACTATTTCCTCACTCACCTTATGTTTGAAAGAGAAAAATAAAATAAAATAAAATGCCTGTCTCTGGACTCCATCAGGCCTTCCTGTGATAGATCTTTTGAATTTGGAACAGAGGGTGTAACACCATCTCAGAGTCCAAAGCATGCCTCTCTTCTGGAAACAGGGATCCTCAGGCCCTGTGCACTGTGCTGTAATCTACAACAGAGGGGCATCTGAATGCAGAAAAGCCACATTCCTTCCACATTCCCTTGAGACTTCAGTAATGGGGAACTAAGCTTGGTTTGAACCAAACTCAACAATACCCCTTCCTGAAAGGGTCCCGCCCAGCTCAGCTTGCAGCAAGAGAGCTGGGCTAGCAGGCAAAGCATCCAATCCCCTCTGTGCCTGTTCATCCATCTCAGAGTGCTGCCAGAAGCATTCCCCAGCACCCATTTCCCAACATGCCTTGCAAACAGGTATAAAGGTCACTGCCCTACAAGTAGGCGTGCCTACCTCAGATGCCCACATGATGGTGGAAAATGACTGCAAAGCATAACAAACTCCATCCCAAAGTCCAGCAGGCTACCTTGGCAATCAATTGATCTGACTGAGCTGAGCAGTCAAGTCTCTATTAAAGTAATCCACACCAGAGCCACCTCTTAACCTTGCCACAGGTAAGTGAGCATGTAGTTGCCAGGTCACTTCGTGGCCCTCTTCCGGAGCTTATGGAGATGATGGAAGAGTCCAGATAAAGGAAACTACACAACTTCAAGGGTCGGTTAAAACTAAACGGTAATAGAGATGAACAGGAAATTTCCTAGGCAGATAAAGGCTATATTCAAAACATTTCAGTGAAGGATTTCCAGCACTCAACTGCTAATCGAGTCAGAAAGAAAATGTATTAGGTTTGTTTACTTACTCAACTAGCAACACAGCATTTAAAATCCTAAGCATTTTGGTAGTAAAAAGAGGGGGGAGAGGAAAAAAGAGGGGGAGAGAGAGAAGGGAAGGGGATGCAGGAAAAGCTCCTTGTTATTGTTATTACATTGTTAATAAACTGAAGAAGCTTCCAATAAACATTTGCTACCAGTTATTACATCTGTCTCCTAGCTTTCCAAAAGAGGAACCCTACAATTTAAAAGTAACAAGTAACCCTTTTCAGGCTAAGCAAAGCTTTAGGAGTTGTTACCAAAGTTCCTAAATTAATTCCCCATGCACAGACGTTAACTCCTAAAAGAAAAGGCAGAAGGTACAGAAAATAGAGGTCATAATTATAATCACTTTCCTTCCCCTGGGACTGTGAAGCCCAAGGCCTCTGGCATGCGAAGCAAGCATTCTATTACTAAACTACAACACCAGCTTTTTGTTTTGTTTTATTGTTTTGCTTACTTTGAATTCAACCTTGAGTGAAAAGTGAGAGCTGGGGGTGTGGCTCAAGCCGTGGAGCGCCGGCCTGTGTAAAGGACTGATCCCAAGCTCAGGGGAGAAACAAGAACTGAGACACACAGGATAAACATGCAACCAACCAGTACAGTGACTTTCATTTTTGGTCTCTAAACCTAAGGGCATGTGATTTGTCCCCCAATTGTTTAAATTCATATGAAACCAAAATCAATTTAATACTTTTTGTATTAAAATAGATTTGTATCCAAATCTATTTTAGAAGATTTTTTAAAGTGATTACATTCTACTATATGAAATAACTTGACCCCTACCACAATTCCTAACTAGAACTAAATCCAGTTACTCAGATGTCTTTCTAGTTATCTTAAGGAAAATTAAGCAAGTACTTCAAAAGAATCTACAAATATCCACACCAGTTTATTCGGAAAACCAGGAATGTGAAATGATTCATGTGGAAGAGAGCTTCATTCCAAACAGTCACAGAACATTCTTCTTGTCCTCTCTCTCTGTAGAGCAAATCCCTTCTGTCCCCCAGAGCACACTCTCAGAAATACTTAACCAGATACACACAGCCCTGGTTTGAATTAACTTCAAGCTTATTGTTTGGTCCAGGTTAGGAATGGGGGAGGACAGAAAGGCAAGACAGAAACCTTAACCCCACCTAGCAAAATCCAGAAGGGCATAGGCTAATCTCAGTCTTTTCAATTAAGAGTTACAGAGTCCAGAACAGGTCTGTGCGGGGGGGGGGGGGGGGGGGGGGGGGGGGGGGGGGGGGGAGATATTTCTCCAAAAAGCTTCAGTAGCTAACTAAAATAGCCTGCAAATATTTTGTAAAGTGACAGCTACAGATGCCGTCAAAGAAATCTCACTCAAGTAGCACAAATCTCCCAGCCTTCGCTTGCTTATTTGTAAGCAAAAACACACCAAGGGGCAGGAGGAACAAAGGCACTGTTTGCAAAAACTCCGGAGTGTTTGAAAGGCTGCAGGACCCCGGCTTTCACTCCCTGTTCCAGTGGCCGCTGGCTGGTGACTGAAGCAGGGCAAAGGCAACTCTGTTGCTCCTCTCTCAGAAGCGGCCACCACCGCAGACCGGCTTCCCCACATCCGTCCTGGCCCTGCCTTCTACATCCCGGAGATTCCCAAAGACTGAACTGCCCTTTGAAACTCGGATTTCCAGTTGAAAGGACTAGACCTTCTCTGCCAAGAACTTGTAGCTGCGAGAGCTTCCTTGACAGGCTTTTATAAGAGCAACAATAAACCAGAAGCAGGGGCGGCAGAGGAGCCCTCGATTACTTCCCAGAATTATCAAGGCGCACACACACACCTGCCACAAACCTAAATGCGTGCGGGGCAAAGGCACGCTGAGCCGTGGCCCCAGCCTGAAAGCCAAAGGGGTCCTAGCTTTTATCACTAAAAAGCGACCAGGAAAAGAGCAAATGGGCTCACCTCTGCCGTTTGGGGACCGAGTGCTCAACTTCCATCGGTTTCCCGTGCAGTTCCATTTTACCTGTGGACACACGAGAAGCAAGGCTAGATTCAGCGGCTCTCTCCGCCTTGAAACCTACTGTCTTTAAAACACAGCCTGCTTCGGGGACCTCAAGAGGGCCCCAGGATTCCCACCCGACTCGAGGACAAGGGAGGAGCAGGGCAAGGCGAGGGTGCGGAGCCGAACCCTCGGGTGGGTGTGGCTTTTTAACTTGCAGAGGCTGGGGAGGGAGAGCGACCGACCGGCTCGCCACTCGGGTTGCATTTTCGCTCCCCGACCCCCCTCAGGGGGCCACCCAGCACCCCGAAGTCTGCAAAAGGAACACCCCAGCAGACAGTCCGCCGTGGGCGCGCGCGGCCTCCTTTCTGGTCCACGTCCAGGCTGGCCTGGAGCGGGGGGAGGGGGGGAATCGCAGAGCCAGGGGTGTCAGGAGGGGACGAGGCAGCCCCGGGGAGCTGGTCCACGCGCGCTGAGCCGTCAGGGCGCCGGCCTCGAGGCCGGCCGGGGCCCACGGGAAGCGAGAGGCACGGGGCAGCGGCCCTCCCGTCCGGCCTCCGGGCCGAGCGTACCCAGACACCGCGGCTGCGCGCCCGGGCCGGGACTGCGGCGCCGCGCGTGGCGAGGATGCCGTTCCGGCACCAGCCGGCCGCCGCCGCCGCTGCCGCCGCCCACCTGCCCCTCTGGCCCCCGCGACCCCGCGGGGTGGACGCAGCCGGGGTCCCCGGGCGA